TCAAGGCAAAGCTCAAACGACCAGGTAAGTTTATATGTACATATATAAATATATATATAAATACGCAAATATTGGGAAGTAATTGAACCAAATGTATCAAGCTCGTTTCTGCAAGAAGGTGAGGTGTTCTCTTGGGAAAAGGCGACAAAATAAAAGTTGATCTGATCATGCTTTAACAAAGGGCAATGTGCTTTTCCTTCCATCTCGTGTTTTAGTGCAGACTGCAAGTCGACAAATTACAGGCACACAGCGCTTCAAATTTAAACTGGGTTATATCCCGGTTGCCATGGTAGTATGCTTTGTGGGGACCCATCCATTGAAGCCTTTAACAGTTGAACACTACGCAATCCTGGCACACAGTGTTGTTCACTGCGGGATGAGCCGCTTTACATAAGAACATAAGAATTTGCTAGGCGAAAGAAGTCCCAAGGTCCACCCAGTTCGCCTTCCACCATCCTGGCAGTCGCACGTAAATGCCATGACCCCAACCATACACTGTATCCCGAGATATTATTTCCTAACAGAGATATATCTCATTTGTTCTTGAAAGATTCAACACTTTCTGCTTCCATCGCCTCCCGAGGGAACCTGTTCCATACGTTTACGGCGCGCTCACTCAAGTAGTTACTATACCTTTGCGTAAGGAATTGAATTCCAAGCCAGTTCTTGTCTCCACACACACATACAAACACACACAGCCATAATCCCTTTCAACATTTGTGTGAAATTGTCACCGGGAAAAAATTTAATCCATAATAATCATAAAACTTGCATTTGATTATAGTCCTCCAGACATCCCAAAACGCTTCACAGGACATACTGTAAAGTGGACTAACTGTGTATTTTGGGGGCCAATCCAAAGTTAACTGAAAACAGCTGCACAAACACTATTTTATTTGTTTCCTTTTTGTTTTAATGTTAAAATGACAAAATCTGGCTTTCTGCTCCACCCCTGAAATCCGATGGCCAACTACCAATCCCCCCAAACTCCCCACCCCCAACCAACCCAACCCAACACACACAGAAAAAAAACTTTCCAAAACGGTAATGGGGGCGATTTAAACTAAAAATGTGAATATAAGAGCAATTAATTCTCTCCGACTAAGCTCTCTGCTGGTCGACATCTGGCACAATAGTCTACCTGGCTTCAAAGCCTTGTGCAGAGATTTAAACATTGCACCCCCCCCTGGATCTCAGTTAGCATCAGGAGACAAAGCCAGTCAGTGCCTTTGGCTTGGGGGGGGAGAGAGAGAGAGAGAGATAGAGAGATGGAGAGAAATCCTACCAAACGCCCCACACTCTTAATCAAAAGGCATTGCCAACAGAAAGCGAAGGGTTCTATATACCAGACGTGGTGGAGCTAAAAAAAAACTGCAACGTGTGAAATCTGCCACACAATTCAGAACACAAAAAAAAACATCTCACTGACTTTCTGCTTTGCATAAAGCAGGCGGGATGTATTAATAAAAGAGCTTAAAAATATACTTGTGGAGAGATGAGATGGGGGGGGGGGGGGGGGGGGGGGAGAGAGACAGAGAGAGAGAGAGAGACAGAGAGAGATCAGAATGGTTCCATCAATGACTTGTGTGTGTGTTTCTTTTTAAAAGAGATTCAGCTGAGCTCAGGCACAATATAGGAGTGAAATAGCCCATATGGGAATATTGTTAAGTTGCACTGTGACTGATCACTACACAGACGGGTTTTTTTTTTGCAATGGGATAGTGCTCATTTGATGTGGGGGTCCTGTCTGCTCCCCCCACACACCCCCACACCCCCTTAAACCCTTCTCTACACTGTTTAAAACCTACTTCACACATGCAAAACACCAATCTGTGATCTGGGGTGGGGGGGTGCAAACTGGGAGAAAGCAACCGGTTTAAAGGGACACCGAATGAATTGAATGGAATGAATGTATCGGGTCGCAACTATTGTAATGATGTTGGTTCGAATCGGGATCCACACTTGAGGGAGGGGATGTGGGAGGATGGGGTGGGAGGATGGGGGGGGGGGGGGGGGTGGGAGGATGGGGGGATGTAGGAGGATGGGGGGGGGGGGGGATGTAGGAGGAGGGGGGGGGTGTCTGGTTTTAGTAGATTTCAAAAAGAGACATAACTACACACACACAAAACCAGGAACAGACAAATCCGTTTGAATGGTTATCAATTGGACCAGAGATTACATAGAGGAAAGAAAGGCACATCAACCCCTTTTTTGGATAAAACAATAAAACCTAATTTAAAAAAATCAGTCTGATTTGCTGCTGAAAGGCAATAACAGGCACAGTAACTGCCTGGATCTCCATCTCCCCCCCATCTGTGTGCTTCACGTGTGCAAATCGAAGCATCAGTCAGTCAGTAGTCAGGTCAGTCCTGTGGACAGGTCTGTGTGTGCTTTTACATAAAAGAAACGTTAATTACAGGGGGTGAGAGCCAGTGAGGGGGGGGGGGGTGGGATGGGGGGGGGGGGGTGTTACAAGAAAGAAGAGTAATAGAGAGAAGAGGCAGAAAAATCTAAACAAAAGGCAGCTGGAGTGACTGTGGTCTCTCCTTGAGAACTGCTCACGTCTCTTCCCTTCTCTTTTGTCGGATTAGTTTTGTTTTGGGGGCAATCCGGTGTGAAGGGATGGGTGGAGGGTGCGGGTGGGGGGTGGAGGGTGGAGGGTGGGGATGGGTGCGGGTGGGTGGGTGTTTGGGTGTTTATCAGGTATTCCCCCCCCAACCCCGATTTCTGAGTTCTCTGCAAATTCCCTTTTTGCCATCAAACCAGAGATCGGGAGCCGCAGGTTGCGGGGGATTTGAAATGAAACTACTCGAGGTGATGGAGAGGGAGGGAGGGATGGAGAGAGAGAGAGAGAGGGGGGGGAAGGGGGGGAAGGGGGGGTTGGAGTCTGGTTCCCCTGAGCCCCTCATTAGGAGCCTCATTGAAAGCAATGTGTTAATGAAGGCGCAGAGCAACTGCACTCAGGCACGTTTCAAGCTGCTCAACAAGCGGTTTGCAAAGGCACTGGTTGCAGTGATTGAGGACGCACTGCATTTCAGAAGCTTTTATATATATATATATATACATATACATATACACACACACACATTTGCTTCGAAGCACCTTCACCTTTCTTTGCAAGAGGGGACATATCTTTTTTTTTACATTAAAATAAACACGTATCTGCATTACTTTCCATTTGCCCTACGAATCAAATGCAAGGATGGTTATTCCTATTATTATTATTATTATGGTTATTAATAATAATCCTAAACACAAATCACTGATGCCTGTCCATCCGAAGCACAGACGAAGGAGAAAGGATAATGCACACAGGAAAATGAGAGGATCTCCAACCTGTTTTCGAGTCTTACATCAGTCACCATTGCATTCAACACACACACAGACACACAGACACAAAAAAAAACCTGGCCAACTTTAATGCAAAATTCTTAGCAGCACTTCAGACATAAAAGACTCCGCAAGGAAACTCGGAATAGGGTTAGAAAAAGATTTTTTTAAAAAAAAAAAAATGCCTTTGTCTTTGGAAATCTGTCAGGTGCTTTGTGGAAATGGGGGGGGGGGGTCTTTGTTTAAGAACAATTAAGCGTTTGGTGAATGGGGTGGGGAGGAAACATACTGTGGGGTGGGTGGGTGGGTGGGGGATGATGGAGAGAGGAGATGGATAGGGGAGGAAATGAAGAGGTGATAACAGCAATGGACAAACAGCATTGTGTGATGCTTCTCGCCCTTAACACCGTGGCGTTGAAATTTGAAATGGTAATACATAGTCACCAGATCCTCGAGGAAATGACATGAATCCATTCGGAAAGATGTTAAAGCCACTGCCAGCGGGATGTTCCCCCTGTTGTTCACTTTGAGGGTACCCCACAAAAGGCACATCAAGAGGACTGGGACCATTCGACGCACGACTCCCAATGGGATGGTTTTAAATTCAACCCATTTATCCTTTACCCCCTTTCTCTCTCTCTCTCTGTCTTTCTCTCTCTTAGTTTGATTTCTTGACGCAGTTGCTCCACTTCCAGTTTTTTTTCTTGCACGTTCCTTATCTGATAATTCATCCATCCTTCCTTATTTTAGCCCCCCCCCCCTCCCCACACACAAAAAAAAAGGGCAAATATTATGATACTGTGAATGATATTATAATAGTATTCGATTGGATTCGAAAACACAGATACACTTCCTGTGAAGGAGAAGAAGAAGAAGAAAAAGAAGAAGAAGAAAAGGCATTCTCAAAAGCTGGTGGGCATTGCCTTTGCACACACTTAAAAAGTAACTGAGTCCCAGTGTTTCACAGTGTGGGAAAGCTCTCTTCTCTCTCTTTCTTTGCTTCGAGAGCTGCAAATCCTGGCAATTATTGTTTTTTTTCTCTCTCTCTCTCTTCCCCCCCACAGTCTGATTCTGGAATGCACTTAGTGAGTGCAATGTCGCAACCTGCTCAAAAGAAACAGAGCTCCACAAATTCAGAGTGTTTTTTTTTCGTGTGTGTCTGTGTGTGTGTGTGTGTGTGTGAGAGAGAGAGAGAAAGACACCTGCAGATGATACATATTGGTGTTGGCTTCACTGCAAGTCGGGTTCAGCGAATACAAAGTATTGGGAAGGCGCATTTCAACAGCAAAGCGCACATCGCAATAGGTACTGGAAGATAACCTAATTAAACCGAGGTCCACCCGTAGGACTCATCCATCAGTTGCACACAGAATCCCAATTTCTTACAGCAAATCTCTCCCCCCCACCCCTCACTGCAATGCAGCTGCAAGAAAAAAAGATGTGTGTGTGTGTGTGTGGTGGGGGGGGGGGGGGGGTCAACCAGCAAACATCTGTTTAGCAATCTTATAAAGCAAGAAATACGTCCATTACAGTTATGCAAAACATATTGAGAGAATCTTTATCTTAACTTTTTAAGCTCTGCGCTCGTGTCAAGTCTCTTTAGAAGCATCGGACTGGAAGAGTCTGCAAACTATTTGGGAGGGCAGCAAGTAAAGGAACAAATAGATTACCTTCAACCGCAGCAACTGAAGACAAGAAGCAGAGAACTAGAATGAAATCCATTGCGATGGTTTAAATGTTGCTTTAGGGTCTCCTCCTGATTGCTATATTCCAGATCGGTATCGTGCACCTTAGATATATATATATATGTAATATGAAATATATATATATATATAAACAACGGTGTATATATGTGTCACATTTCAGGCAGCTGTAAGTCAGGAATGATCAGAGCAAATGCAAGGGGGTCTGGGGGGGGGAAGGCACAAGCAGAGACCCCCCTGGATCAACCCGGCCAATCTCTGGTTCTAACTGCACCCAACCTGGCCAATCGTCATGTAGTCCTTCCCACATTCAATGGGGGGGGGTGGAGAGGAAAAAGCAAATTTTGTGCTGTTCCACTATCAGAGAGTGCAATAAAGAAGTGAAATGGCACTATCTGGTGGGATGGAAGAGTACTGCATAACAACGCCTCCAGAACCCGTTCCCAAATACTTTGGGGGAGTGGGGAGAACTCTTCCCTACAGATCACAGTGGGGCTTTCAACAGGCTGTACTGAGACTTGGGGGGTGGGTGGGGGGGAAGCAGGGAATCATCCGACTCAGCTCCTGTTAACCCTGCAAGCCCAAGTCCTAACGGGTTGGGTGGTCCGAGCTGGACAAGCAGCAGGAAAGCTCGCCAGACAGCGCTATTAATGGCAAGTTGTGAGGTTTTTTTCTTTAGCTGGTTAGATTCCGGCAGCAAACCAACACACGCTCTGGGGTCCCCAAGCCTTGGCTGTTGCAAAACCGTACCCAATATTTAACCGGAATTAGGTGCGTAGGATGCATCCCTCCGGGTGGGAGAGATTGCGCACTCTATTCCAACAATCTCGCTCTGGAATTTCCGTGTGTAGATGGGATACATGGAATTCTCAGTTTGGATACTCTTACGCGTGGTGATGCGTTTCCAAAAAACGAACCACTGAGACAGAAGCATGAGCGCTGGCAGATTTTGACAATCTAGAAACAGGTAAATGTACTTTGCATATCCAAGGATGTCACAACTGTGCCTGACAATTGGAGACCTGTCACCAGACCTCAAATACAGCACTTGAGAAACAAAGGAAGTTAGTCAGAAGCAAAATCCAAACGTTAGCACAGAAGAAAAGGGCAGATCTGTACTAAATCAACTGCTAATTCTTTTTTGAGAAAGTGACAATTTGGCTGGGGAAGTTGGGTGTCTGATACATGTGGAAACACATCAATCACCATGCTTAAGAGTTTCCAAATCAAACGAGAGTTCCATGCATCACATTCAAACATGGAAATTCCTGTACATTGGAATGGAATGAACACTCTCTCTCTAATTCCAGAGGGTATTAGTGCAGGCTGGCAAAAACTAAAGCTTGGGGACCGCTGAGTGTGCGTTGGGGTCCTGATGGAGTCTGACCAGACAAAACCACATAACGTGGCATTGAAAGCACTGTCTGGCAAACTTTCCTGCTGTTAGTCTAGCTAGGACCATCCTACCAGTTAAAGCTTTGGCTTGCAGTTAACAATAGCTAAGTGAGAAGAATACCTATCCCTAATGATTGGTTTGCCCTCCATGTCATACCAATGAACAAGACCAGCTATTCTGGCATCAGAATTGACATAAAACTGAGAGTAAAGCCTTTGGAAAGTGTCATTCCAAGACTCTTTTATAACCTAATTTGAATGAATGAATAGAAATTCAAAAACATGAATTCATAACTGGCTAAAGGGAAAGAAGCAAGGTGGACTGATGAGTTGACACCTTTTCCAGAAACTAGAAATACAATGCAAGGTTTGATACCAGCTAATCCAGATAATGGGACATAAATTGTAAGAGTCTCAAAAGGCTTTGTAACTGGTGTATACTGTCAACCCTGTGGAACATCTCACAGATTTTTAATTCCAACTTCTGGGTAGGTGGAACGTGGTCAAAATGGGACAATCTAGGTCAAAAATAATAAACTTTTTCCACCCATGTACACTCGCACATATTGTAATGTACATTTCTAGTTTCTGAACAAAGCTGTCCAACTTATCCTTTCCCACCTTCCTCACTATCCTGCACACCACCATGCAACTTACTGATGAGTGTCAGTTGTGTGCCTAAGGGACCAAGTCCCTGTCTTGATGGCCTACTTCACAACTGACAAACTCACTGCTGATATTGTTGTCAAGGGCAAGTATCAAGCCACCTTTGTGGCCTAAAAATGCAAGGAAAGTCTTAACAACTGCCTCAGAATACTGTAGCCTTCACAATCATGTCAGCCTGCAAATGGGTACAGCAACTACTGAATATGGCTACACTGACAGCAAAAGACCAAGGTTTCAGTTCTTTTTCAGGAAAGCGTATTGCCATCTATTAATGTGCAACTCTGCCTGGAGCATGCTGCCTACATTCTGAAACTGGTGAGGCTCCACTTCCATTCATTATAACAGAATGCTGAGCACACTCAGTATTAAATAGGGCATCCAGTTGTTTCAGGCTACTGATAAGGGATGTACAACGAGTCTATCTGCTGATCACCCGGTGCAGTGATTCAAACAGGTGTTGTCAGCAATTTAGCTTCAATCGCCTACGACCCTTTGTGATGAATCAGATGCAGAGTTATCTGAAGGTTAATTCAACTATTTAATGTGACTACTGATACATTTCAAACAGCTATCACAGATATTTCTTAGCAGACAGGGTTATTTATGCAGGCTTCAAAGACATCCAAGTGTCCAGCTATCAACTAGTATTCCAGGATGTCCCTTCGACAGTTAATTACAACTATAGTTCACTTCATAGTTTCCAGAAATGCAGATCACAAATAGGTTCCATATTCATGAAATTAACTTTTAATGTAATTTGCCAAATCCTTTTGAAAGCAGAGGCAGAGAATACTAAAATGGAATTGTTCAATAGAAAATTTATTGCAGTTGAGAGGAGGATCTGTTAATTCATAAGGGACCAAATCAGGAGTGAGTTATCGAAGTCCTACTTACGAATAGATCAAGCGTTGTACAACTCAGTTCCCCACTGATTATTCTGTTCAGAGCACTCGTGTACAACTATTTTTAAATTAGATTTTTTTAAAATTCAAACATAATTGGCTTCTTAATCTGTAACATCTATAGTATCTGATATACCTTTATAATTTGTGATGAAATAAAACCAAGTATCATTGACATTGAAACCAAAAGCTAACCACATTAGCACAGGTTCAAGCAATGTGATTTAGTCTTAAAATGCATGTCTACATGTCCAGTATTAAGCAATCCCAGGTAAAGTCAGACCAGCTTGTTCAACTCTGTCCCAACAATAAACCTCAACTTCAATCTCAAAAGAGCATTCATTACAGCACTGATGTGAATTTGCCCACTTCCTACCCTAACTATCCACGTGCCCTCTCTTAGTGGGAGTCAGTACCAACTCAGTGTTGAATCCCAAGCAATTTGTGCTGTGGGCACACTCCCATTATTAATAGGATTATGATTCCCAATCTATTTGATATGGAATTCTAATAGCTGGCAGAGAGAAGAGGTTTTAGTCCAACACATTTAGACAGCATTCAAACCCAGACCCCAGATGCAAATGGACAGTGTCACAACCCACTTCCACAAAACAATTCCTCTATATTTGCTTAAATACTCATAGGATAATAAAGGTAAAGTCATGAGTGAGGTACGCCAAATAAGCATCTGACTGTATAGCTCACAATCACCAAAACACCAAATAATATGCAGTCAACCTTTCAAGTAGCAATATTAATCATATTTTATTGCTGGCAATCATACATATTCGGTAATCACATTGTTAAAGTAGAATGGGATCATTAATTTTCAAAATTATAATATTTTAATGGCAATAAATAATACTGAAAGTCCTTTCAAATACTCTGTACAATGGTATGTGACCTCCCTCACACCTCTGTGGATTTACTTTGCAATCAACTGCAAAAAATCCCCCAAACTGGAATGAAACATTGGACCTTCAACTGCACAACATTCATTGTGCTAAAAAAAAATTAAACCATCACTTCTGTCTTAAACAAATAGCCTGCACTGAGCATGACATCATTGCTGTAATCCATTTACACCAGCAACAGCACACTTAATGCAGCGGATTGAAATGTTTCTGAACGATGGACAAAAAAATCAAATTTTTCTTGCATTTAGTGCAGTTATGAATTGACTCGCTCAGAGATCCTGGGAGATCAAGTTGTGGTTTGGGCAAAGATGGCCCTTAGCTATTGTCTCCCCTAATATACTCGGGAATTGCATGTTACTTGAGGTACTGAGGGACTGGTTGGAAAGTCGTTTTTTCCAAGCGAATAATTATAAAAGCACTTAAGTGGAGTATGAAGAAGCTCTTTAAGAAACAGTATTTTCACAGATTTGTGAAGTTTCTGACCTTGATATGTGCCTATAATATAGGTTCTGTGCTTTCAGCCACTTCACCCCGAGACTCTGGAATACAGACATCAAGTGATCAGGCTCAGTTAGTTGTAATGATCTCCGTGATCAAACATCATGCTTATGCTGGCACACAGAATGGTCACTGGGTCAAGAGCATTTGACGGGAGGGGAGAAAAATGGAGAGAAGTTGGCAAAGCAAAACAATGTTTATATGGTTTTCATATCCTTGTTCTAAACAAAGATTGTTCCCTACCAAAGATGGTGATCGACAGAATGTGCTACAGATAATGTACCGTCTTTCTCTAATCAGTATCCACAACTACAGGTTCATAAAGTTTGTTTAAGGGTTAGATTCTTCAGTATTCCTCACAACCCATTAAACTTCTGATAGCTCATGAAATTGAAAATGGATAAATATCGGTATTTTTCTTTTATGATAGATTACTCCATGCATGGTTTCCTGCTATGTGTGCCAAAACAATTGTATTTTTACTCTTTTAATCTGTACTCAGATGAAAAATTCAATATTATGGAACGGTTATACTCCACAAACCAAAAAGTAATTAAAAAAGTAAATTCATCAGAATTACCCTGTAATTCACAGTACAAAGTAACACAATTAAGTACATTTACTTGTATTTGTCATTCTCCACATTCGCCGTTTTTCACTGCCAACTTTGATACAGTGGAGATAGTGTACTGTGGGACCAGTCTTCTAATTCCACTGCAGAGGTGCTACTTGGAAACATGTAGCTTGTTGAGCAGTGAGACAAGAACATTAATGCATGTGAAGGG